GTTTGTTAAAGTTCTCCGTACAATCATATCCTGATGGACGGATTTATCGTTTAGATTTCTTTTTAGTAGAATAGAAAATTTTATCATAAATTATGTTAATTAACTTCGTGTCAAAAGGTAACTTTAAATAAACCTGTAGGCATGTGAGTCTGGAACTACTTTGTCTGGGAGGATCGGAAAGCATTCACTTTTTGCTGGAAACTCTTACTTTAAACTTCTCTTTGCTTTTATTGATTTTCTTAACATAGTTTCAGTCATCACTGCGTATTTTGAATTAAAATAGTTGCTAAGTTATTACATTAATAAAATAATTATTACTGAAAACATCCTAAAGCCTTTTTAAAAAAAATTCTAAAGAACTTAAACTAGCCTTATTATTAGAGATTGAATGTAACTTATAGCTTTTGACAAGAGATATTGCAAATAAAAATGAGAAGTTTTAGGTTTAGGACATTTAAATAATCAGTTGAATAAAAAGCATTTTGTTTCATTTAATAGAAATGACAAATAAAAGATAGCATTGTGGAATGTTTTCCTTTTTATTTTGAGAACACAGAACATTAAAAATATTTTTATTAACTGCTTAAAATGTACAAATATTTCCTTAGTAACAATATTTAGTATTAGAAAATTAAGACAAATATTTAGCATATAGTCACAACAATATTAAAAAAAAAACAAGTTATACTAAAATATAACCCCAACTAAGATACAAGATATATAGCTGTTACTAATACATTTAAATTCATATATAGTTTACAATTGAATATTTGAAGAAAATATTCATGTTATAAAAAGCGTAAGTCAATAAAGACAAGTAGCTAATGTAATAACATTTAACAATTAAATTGGTGTGTATTATAAGTTCATTGGCATTGGCTGTTATCAAACCAAGGACACTTGGGTTTGTGGCTGTATATTTTAAGCACTGGAGTTATACATATCTTAGTGAACCGAAATATCGTGGAATTGTTATCTATTTGCTGCTTCAAAGGGTCAAACGCTGCAAAAATTGGACCAAAATGCTGAAACTTTAAAACAAATTATAGAGCTTGAGAGTAGCAAAATTTTAGAATTATGACCCAATACCACCTCACTGGTATCGAAGTTTAGATTAGTCCAATGAAACGGCAAAATTGAATCTTTTGGACAATTCGTAACTTCTGCAGCCCAAATGACAGTTACTTAGATACTATATTTCAGAAGGTAATTTTTTTTTCTTTTTTCTTCACCAGAAGCAGTAAAAAAATTTTGCAAATTACTAAGACACATTTCTCAAAAACTACTTAATATATTTAAATAAAATTTTGTAGGGGTTTAGTATGAATTAAGTGAAGAAAAGAAAACAATTTTAACTATTGAAAATATTGGAAAATTTATGTCAGATTTTGACATTCGTATTGTAAGTGGCATAAATGTATTTACATACTAACATAATTAATAAATTTAAAAATTATTTCGAAAATAAATATCATTTCATGCGAAACAAGACATTTGACAGCTAAAATAAGATCTCAACTCAGTAAGCAATTTAATTAATCACGTTTAAGTGTTTCACTGCAAAATTCAATTTGCTGAGTTATGTCAAGGAAAATGGATTACTATATTTAAAATTGTAGGAAAAGAATTGATGCTAGTTAATAGTTTAATTATAATACTGGAAAAAAATATATTTTCAGAACTATAAAATAGGTTTTGTAGTGACTGTACTTTTCACTTTTAAATAAGACGCTGAGTAATTGTGAGATTTTCTTTTAATTCAATATCTGTTTTCTCAAAATAAATCAAATTAATTATCATTTATGGGAGATGGTCTAATCAATTCTAAAGATTTACTGGGATCATCATTTCTATAACTAAAAACAAGCTTCATTGGAAATTTTTTGTTTTCTCTTGCGCTATTTGTGCTACCTGGTTTGAGACCAGGATCTTTACAGTTTTTTTTTAGCAACTCTGCATTTTCCACAGCTTCCTCATTCACGTCATTCTCCTTCTTATTTTCACTTGGCTCTTCTGAAGTATGTCTGCTATCAGTTTTATCATTTTTCCTTAATTTTCGCAGAGCTATGGAAGCACCAGCAATTACCACACCTCCAGCTACGATAGCTGCCCTTGTACCTACAGTTAATCCAGCAGCCAAAGCACCTGCAGCAACACCACCAGCAGTAAAACCAATAAGAGGAAGAGCTAAAGCAGTCCCACCAAAAACAGCACCAGACATTGTCGTAGTTTTTAAAGCAAACCCTAAAGAAAAAAATATATAAAAGAATTGGCTTAATGAGGTCATTAAAAATCTAACCACTTAGAAAGTTAAAACCTGGAGTCGGAAGCCAAAAAAAATATTGTTCGGAAATTTAAGGCTCAAAGTGGTCTGTAGTGCTCTACAATTAAGAAAGTAAGTAATGTTTTTGACTGAACTAATCTCATAATATTTCGTTTGAGAACTGCTAAGATTTAAGAGAAAATTATTTACAGTATAAGTTCACTCAAATTTCGCTAAACGTTTCGGTAAATTGAACATATATTGGATAATTAACTCTTTACAAGTTTTGTATTACATCTTCTTTAGTATAAAATAAATTACAATTGAAAATGTATTTAAAACGAAATTACATATGAAAAACTTATATTATGTTTAGAAAATAAAACTTTTCATAGTAATAACCAAATATTTTTTTTTTCAAGTAAAAAGAAAATTTACAAATCAGTACATTAAATTAGTTTTCCTCAATGACAAAATTTTATGGTACCCCTGTTGTTAACGTCCAATTTTAATGGTCTCAAACCATTATACAAGCTTCGTAGTGGACAAAGAAAAGAAAAGAAAATCAGGGCATTTTCCTAAAAAATCAACACCTTGCGAACACTCAGAAAAATCAGGATTATTCGAAAAAAAGGTAAAAATCGAGACAAAATATTCAGCAGAATCAAAACTACTACAAACCCTGCATTAACCCATCATAGTACCAATGTTTTTAATTTAAATGTTATGGACCATTTAAGAGGCCACTAACAATTTAACAACAAAAATAAGCTCGAAACACTATAATATTTAATTAGTTTAGAACTTACTTTGTGTAATTGAATATTAATGAAAAAAATAATGAATCAAGAATTCTTTTTCCACTCTTTTTCTACTTTACTATTTATAAGTTATCTTTTTGAATTCTAAAAACGTATTTTTCTAGAAATCATTTAAAAAAATATTCATATATGGCGTAAAAAAACACATATTTTTATAATAAAACTAATTGTAAGCCTAATCCAACCAAAAAACAATGAATGGATATTCTTATGATCATATTAGTCTCTACAAAATTGTATTGAAAAATTATAACTGAAATTATAAACTGTTAGGTGTGATATGCACATATATGGCAACGTTACTTTTAAAAAGTAACAAGTAAAAGTACAAGTATTTTTCAAAAAAAGTAACGAGAAAAAAGTAAAAAGTTCTTATTTTAAAAAGTAACGAGTAAAAAGTACAAGTAAAAGTAAAAGTACTAAACAAAAAAAGTAACGATTTAAAAGTGCATTTCTAGGAAATCGAAAATTCAAAGCAACTTAAAATTTTATTGAATAATATTCGTATGTTCTTTAATGTTTTTGCAAAATTGTTGTGATTTATTTAATTATTTTTAGTTTTTAAAGTTATGGACATTAATTTATTTTTAAATTCGGAAGAATATTATAATATAATTTTACAATATAATTTTATATATTTTATAATTTTATAATTTAATAATATATTTTATAATTTTATAATATATTTATAATATAATTTTATAATAATGAATATTATAATATAATTATATAATTGTATAATATAATTTTAAAATCAAATATAATTTTAATATCAAACTTTTTATGGATTTGCACGAAAAAGAAATTTTATCTATTGATTTTNACAAAATCCAACAATTTTTATTTAAAATGTATTAAACAAATGCATAAAACTCGGAAATGAATGAAAATAACTTCCAAATTAATATTTTTATTCATTTTGCAAAATAATTGCATTTTGACAGCATTTTTTTAAATTTTTTTTTAGAAAGCTTACCGAGTTTTAGAAAAAAGTAACGATTTCATTCGACATTTCCGTTACAAATACTTGTACTTTTTCCCTAAAAAAGTAACGAAAGTACAAGTAAAAGTATTAAATTTAAAACGTAACGAAGTACAAGTAAAAGTACGTACTTTTTACTTGTACCGGCGGTACAAGTAACGAAAGTAAAAGTACTGCCATATATGGATATGCACCACTTACTCATTGAATAACATGGAATAAACAAATAGGTTAGGTGGACTCAATTTCAGGTAATGTTTTTGAACACAAAGCAATTTAAATAAATAAATTAAGAATCTATAAAATTCAAAAAATATGCAAGCTAATTTTAATTGAATTTATTATAAGACATAATAGATCAGTAGCAACTATGTCATAAAAACAATAAAATAAGAGAATAAGTTAATAAAAATCTAATTAGAAAAATTAGGTTTTTATCAATTGAATATCATTAAAATAAAAACATATGGTTAAACATATGTTTAACCACTATTACATACAATGCTAAATATTTCTGTGATGAAAATATAAGTTTATGTTCTTAAAATTCGCAAAACAAATGACCAAGTTGCAAAGTAAGTCATACTATGAAGAATGTTTCAATTAAATTCTTATACAAATAGTTATAATCATAAAAATAAAAAAAATAAATCAAGCTTTAAATGAACAAATAAATGCTAATGAATTATTAAAACCTATTTTATAAAGTGTATTCTTTTATAAACTTATAGCCATCACTAGCTAACACCTTTTAAACAAGTAAAAATTCACTAATTTTGAAGTATATAATCATTCAGAAAAAATGCAAGTCAATTAGCAAAAATCAAATTTTATTGCACCAATAAGCAAGTTTTCAGCTAGCCCCTTACATGTCAATACGGGCACTAGCTAGCACAGTACTAGCACATTGTTGGACACTTTTTAAAAATATTTCTTTTTTTAGAAAATATGTTATTAGAAAAATATGTTTAGAAAGATATGTTTTGACTTTTTTACAAATTAAAAAAGGGTTCTGTTGCATACTTCAATATACTCTAACATTTTAAACTACATAGTACTTCTTGAGTTTCACATTATTATTTATAAATCTAGAGAAATATATTGTTGATAAAAAAAATTCCTAAATATCGATTATTTTGGGATATTAGGTAAATATAAATATTAAAATAACTAAAGGAATTTATTTTAAGTAATTAAGAAAAAGTACTTAATATTTATCTAACTTAATAGCAGTTTTGACAAACTGAAAGACAGCATACTGATTAAATGGACATTTAACTTAAATTAAATTAACATTTAATTTAATTTAACAATCTGCTCCCTTATTTCCCTTGCTGATGGTTCTACATGAAAAGATTAAGCATTAAACTTTTTTTATGTTTATTTCACGATAATAAAATAACTTTAACCAAGATTATTCGTCATGATGCTGTTTAAGTAATGTTGAAGTAATTTTTTTCCGGAACTTATCCTTTTCCGTAGATCGTGAAAAGCCTATTACAACACAGCAGTACCTAAATTTGTATACTTTCTATCTATTATCATAATAATACTATCACAATTATTAGTAATGTAGTGTATAAATAGGTATATTTGCATCAATTACTTTAATACTAAAATTAATTCACATTAACATAATAATCAGCTTTAGACATAATTTAGCAACCAACATAAAAATCAATAAAATTAATTAAGAATAATTGGCATCAATAATATAAAGATGGTGATTATTACGTTTCTTCTTACATTTATTACATTTAAACAGTACATTTTCTCTATTGATCTTGTTTTTTGTACATAACTTATTTTCTATTTTACTTTAGTCCAATTACCATTGAGCACAAATTATTCAGCTGCATGTAACATGTTTTAAAAACACAACAATAAACAAAATAATTTCATGGTTTCATATATCTTCAGGAATACTAATTCAGTGAGATTGTACATCCACATGCAATTCACGTTAATCACAGAGCTTGTTAAAAATAATTAAACATTAAAGAATCTGCAATAGAAATCTTAAAAAGAATTATCTACAGTTTTATTTATAACAATGGCTTATGTTAAAAACCAATGCGAAAAAATCTTTTTTCAAAGGATCAGGGGTCAAAATTGCTCTATAGTTTATGTTTAAATTTCAGAATCCTAGCACAAATGGTTCTGGAGCTGAAGGAGATTCAGCATAGTGATCCCACACCGTAGACTGAGTAAACAAAAAAATAGAGAAAACACAAAAATTGAATAAAGAAAATAAATTAAAACATTAAGACATTTTAGAAAATATCTAAACTGATTTTTTTGAATTTAGCAAGTAGAAAGCTGGCATTTTTTTTCCCTCCAGATATTGCATGTTTTTGCTTCATTGAAATAAAAAAGATATTTATTTCAAACCATGCTGTTTCTTAAAACCAATTTTGAATTATTAAGATTTAAAAAAAATAATTTCCAAATTGCATTTAATCAAATGAAGAAAAAATGCATTGAAAAAGGATTAAAAAAGTTGTAGTAACTTATAGGAAAAAATACCAATAAAGCCATTTATTAAAAAAGATATAAAGTAATGATGAATTTGAAACAATGAGTTTAATCATATTTTGTTTTTTCCTTGTTAGTATAATAAGCATAAACTGTCGTTCACAAATTTTGAAATGGTTTAAAATGAAAAAATGTCCCATGAATGTTTAAAAAGAGCAGAATAAATTGTGATTCAAATAGAAACAATCATATAAGTACACGGAGGTAGATTTTCAATTTCTTACATAGAGGGATATCCAAATTGATACTTACATCCAACATCCTTCCAGGTACTACTTTCACCATCCTGAAACAAATAGAATAATTAGCAAAAATAAATAAATAATTAGTCATACAGATAACAATTTAATTCACATCATAATTTCAGGGCTCCCAAAGGGGGAGAAAAAACCATTTGCAGTTAAAGAGAGAAATTAGGGAGACCATTTAGGTTTGAAAAAATTTTTAGGATAACCATTAAAATTTTTTAAAAAATTGGAAAATCATTAATATATATAATTAACAAATGATTTAATTAATCTTCCTTAAGCAAATAATAAAAATTAGCTCGAACAGAATTATACGAACAAGAGAAAAATTTTTCATTAAGTTTCATAAAACAGTAAACACTGAAATTTTAAATTATTAAAAATATTCACTAAAGAAAAATTAAATAAAATCAAACCATGTGTAAGTTCTCAAAACTCATTTAATATTTTACATATTTAAGACTTGCAATAGAAATTGAGTTATAATACATATTAAAAGAGAAGTAAACCATGTGTAACAGAAAATAGTCAACTTAGAATAAGGGTAAATAAACTGTGGTGCTACTTTTATCGTTTTGTCATGGAAAACAAATATATAATTAAAGACACTCATTTCTATTCTTCCTGTCTCCATTACAACTGGGAAAATTTTACCCCTACATAGTACAACCTTATTAAAAACTTTCTTTGGTCTTATCATTATCATATCATTATAATTTATTACACTGAACTGCTAAAGGTGGATAATTAACACCTAAATAATATCATATTACATACATCAATAACTGAATAATGTCTTAAGTTTTTATTAATTATTGAATCACAAACTACATCAAACAATCAAATGATAATTACTACCATGATAATTACCAACTAATCGTAACAGTTGGTACTACTGGATGTCGAAGTACATTAAGAAAAACAATTAAAGGAAGGAACTTTTTAAAAAATAAATAAATAAAATAAGTAATGCATATATGTAAATAAGGTATTAGATGATAGCCAAGCTAGACCTCTGCCTGTGTCGTCGTTAGGCATTGGCGCTTTTGTGTAAAGGTATCTCATTTGCTCGTCTAACCTAGTAGCATACGGGCATTTTGAAACATCATAGCTTAGCCCAATCCTTGTTTTTTGAACTTCTTTGTACAGTTCTTTGCCAGTCGTCATTGCTTAGACGATGCCACAAGATAGCAGATAGTTGGAAGACTAGAGGTAGATCAATCACTGTTGTAGGAACCTGGAGGTTACGAGAAATGTAGCGTTCATTCAATGAAAACAGCTCACAGAGGCAGGAACCTGGTCAAGGCCACAATACGGCAACAGCACCTGCTCAAGACAGTTTTATTTAAGACTTTTAGCCAAAAGGGATAGGTTCACAACAGTAACCTACCTGTCTCACCGCCTGTATATTGCAACCCCAGAACTTTTATTTCACAGATAACAGTCACCCAGAGACATAATTTAGGTGGTCTGTATGCCAGGCAAAATGTAGTCTGCATCCTGCTTTGACTGTGAACCGCAAAAAGGATTGTCTAGCATGGTGGCGAAAGCACCTCTCTTTAACGATAAATGTTTGGGGTGGGTTCTCTGCAGTGATGAGTCAGAATTCAGTCTGGACAGCAACTCAAGAAGTATTCTCATCTCCTCTAATACTGTCGAAAAGGGCCACTATGATCGAGATCGTCTAATGGTCTGGGCAGAAATCATGGCAGACTGGCTAACTAACTGTCATGTGTTTCGTAGAAATATTCTGATAGGTCAGCAGTACAGGGACAAGATTCTTGCACCCTATGTGTTACTTAAATTGCTGAATTCATATTTTTCTTGCAGCACTAATTTACCTTTTTTTTCAACAGCACATCTAGGAAGGGAATGAGAACAACTTACAAATTTTCATAGCTGTAAAATTATTTCTCCCAAAACAATCTATAAATTAACAATTAATACTTTAAATACAATTTAAAAATCAGACAATAACAATGCTGTGATCCAAACAGAAATAAACCTCATAATGTGAGGTGACTATATTGTGAAGACAAAAAACTAGAGTAAATGTTTATTTATAAATGCTGCACTTATTTTGAAAAAATACATGCTATACATTGAAAATAATTATGAAACTGGTAGAATAATTTCAATAATAATATTTTTTTATGTCAATAAAGTGCAAGTATAAATATCAAACATTAAAAATTCATTTAATTAATTTCAAATGATGCCCTTATATAATGCATATAATTTTTTGAAAGACATTAAGTGGGTTTTTTTAGATATTGATTTTTTTTTCATATTGGAACACTTTTGATGTTGGCATGATATTGGAACACCTTGTTCTTCTGCCTTCAGAATTACGTAACGATTTTTAATTATTTTAAGCAAAGAGTAAGCAAAGTTCAGAATTCGGAATATTTTACGCAATATTGGAATTTGATGCCATTCTTCTATTTATTTTTCTCTAAATTTTAAAATTCTATTCTAAGTGTACACGCTTAATTTGTTTACGATCAGTCATTTTCGCTAAAAATCGCCATACCTCGAGAGAACTGTTGAAGAAAAAATAAAAACAAGGAAAATATTATTACAACTAAAATAAACCACCTCTTATGACACTTCACAAAACTTTTTGAGCAAAAAAAGTGTATGGATAAAAGGAAATTTACAAAGGTTTTAAGAGCAAGCTGGAATCTCCTCTGGTTCTAACATGAGGATGCAATATACAAATCAAACTTTCAATAATCAAAAGTAATAGATATTTCGCGATCTCTTTTACGATTATATAAAGACCCCTTTAAGTTAAGAAAAATTGGTGGTTTTGTCAATCTTTCTATTCACAAAATAAAAATTTTCATACTTGCTTACTTTCTTATCTTTTTGATCATGAGGCATCTCTGTTAAGCTCTGTTTTTCAGCTGAAAATATGATCGGAATGAAATTATGGAGGGTCTGTAATATATAACTATATGAGCAATTGTTTTCAAAGAAATCAAAGGACAGTTTAGTTTTATTAAACTTTTTATCAATAAACATATGAATAGATAATGTCGTAAAAAAGTAGTCGGAGGACGGAGGATGCATTAATAAGTAACCTTGCAAATTTCTGAGTTCTTTAATATTTTACCTATTTTTTCTCCTTATTAGAGTTTGGCATGAATTACATTATTCATACAAATTATTTTCTTTATAAAAATTTACGTACAAGTGTGGTTCCTAATTGTAGAAGAAAATTTTGTACCCAAGACCAATTTCAACTTATTTTATTTATTTTTAAGCAGCAAATAATAATTTGAAAATTTGGAATTTCTGAGGGAAATACATTGTATGTTTATCTGATGATATAACTTCTTTTTCGTAATCGAGTTCTGCAATACACGTTAGAAAAAATGTTTTTTCTTATTCAAAGAAAAATTGGTTAGTCCAAATTAGGTAGTTTTAGGTAGTTGCCGCTACCTGGCGTGAAATTGACTATCGACTTGATATTCTCCGTGCGAAGAAGGGGGCACACGTGGAAGTTCATGGACAAGGGTCGTGAAACTTTTTGAGCCTATCTAACCATTTATGTTATTAATTTTAATCTATCTTTATTATTTTATGAGTTATTAAAAATCAAAATGGGTCAGGGACTTTATAAACATCCTGTACATCCATTCTCTGGTCTACTTTGTTTAAAGCTATTTTTGCTCTTCCTTTTTTAACCAAGTACAGATGATCTTTTTATCTATTTTTGCTCTACAAAACATAAATTGTTGGAAATAGCTGGCACAGAAAGAATTATGAAGATGGCTTGAAAAAACTCCATTTTGAGTTTGAACGTAGATTTCAAGATTTCAGTGCCATTCAAACACAAGTAGATATTTGTACTATGCCTTTCAACGTGAATTGTGAAATAGTCAGGTCGGATTTTCAGCTTGAATTAATTGAGTTGCAATCTAACAATCATCTGAAGCAGTTGTTTCTAAATATGCCAGTGTTGAGTTTTACAAATCATTACCAAAAGCTAGTTTCCCAAATTGAATATCTCATGCTCAGAAAATCCGTACTGTATTTGCTTAATCTCATATATGTGAACAAATGTTTTCAACTATGAACTAGGAAATTTCAAAAATGAAATCGCAGTTTCCTTCATCTCATTAAATATTTAAATTAAAACTCGTATATAGTTTTTTTTTATTTTAGAAGTTTTTTTCTTAGCCCACCAGACTTTTTTCCCCTATTTTTGGACCTCGACCAAAGAAGTTAGTCCATCCCTGGTGTAAGTAAATAGAATAAAGACATCTACTGAGACACCCTAAAGATATTTTAATTTTTTTACAGGTTCTATAATGGCATATCTTATATTTTAACAAAAACATCAGTATCTAGCAAAAAAAGCAAATAAATAAATGATATATCTCTTAATTTTGCTCCAAAAGAAAGGAGAGAGAAAATATCACATTAAAATTTTATTTTTATCATTCGGGTATTGATATTACGGAAAAAATAACTTACAATATGATGACCAGATCTCATTTCATACATCAACTTATGATGTTCACCTTATGTTAGAGATTGTATATGAATATTATCTGCATTACAATTATCAGAGAGATGATTTTTTTGCGTATCAATCAGGGAGTTTCCCTACGAATTTAAACGATAATGTGTTTCAATGCTTTATCTAATCCTTAACGTTGCATCATAAAATGTTGCATCAGTAATTATCAAACTTAAAAACTTTTAGAACAAAATGGTGTTTATAAATTTGTATTGCTTCGGTTCATTGCTCATAACAGAATTATTGTAAACTTAATTTTCAAAAAGTGATTTCAGTAAGACAGGCAGAAAAAAATAGTGTACCAATAACAATAGTGAACAATATAATAAAAATAATAGTAACAATAATAATAGTAAATACTAGAAAACAATAGTAAATAATCGTGACTTTCTTGAATATATGTACATAAGAAAGGAAAGGCATTGCTTCAAGATGAAAATTAGCAAAGAATTTGTCAATCTTTATTAATGATCTGCTCTACAAAGCTACAGTCAGTTGGGATAAAAGAGCAGCGAGTTTCTACACATTACGAATGATATATTTTACATTTTTATAAATAATAATTACTATTACTATAAAAACTGAATACAAAGGCAAAGCCCTCGAAAAAATACACTACCCTACAATAATGGAAAAGACACTTTCAGTTTTTGACATTTTTTTAAAATTGCTCTAGAAATACTTAAAGGATTATTTTGTAACTTTAAAAATGTTTAGCTCAATAAAATTTAAAGCTTTCAGATGTTTAAGAGACTTATCAAAAATTAAGAAAGAAAACAAGTATTTCCTATGAGGAAAATTAAGCAATAAGCTTGTAATTTATTTGGATTACTTTAGCGGTTTTTTTTTTTTTAATAACTAAGTAAAATTTCGTGAACCTAGAGTAAATATTTAGGGAAATATAGAACATTTAAATAAAAAAAATAAAATAAAATAAAAATAAAAAAATTCACCTTACGTTTTTTTTTCAATATAACCTAATAGATATTCAATGTAATTTTTAAAAAAAAATTGGAGTAATTTAGGATTGATTACAAAATTATCGATTTAAAATTTTTTTAAAATTCATGCAAAACTACGCAAGTTATGAGAATTTAAGCTAGTTCTTTTATACTGTGCATACACTGAAAAAATTTTAAAAAGTTTTTTTCTCAATTTCGTAGATAATCGTATTTGGAAACAAATAAAAAATCTTTATTGGAATATCTTAAAAATTTAAAAAATTTCAAGGAATTTCCTAAATAGTTTTTGTACTTTTCAAAAGAAAGCTTAAAGTGAGCAGAGGTTTTTCTCAAATTTTATTTTGCATCATAAGACAAAATTTAATTTTAAAAAAACGATAATACCTTACAGTAATCGTCCAGAAACTAAACTTTGATGGTATAGAGAAAGAAAACATGCAAAAGAAAACATACTATTATGAGGGGCGATCCCGCACAATATCGGTCTCGTTTTTCATTTTAAAAAAAGTCGTAGAATTAAAAATCGATTCCTCAGTAACTATTCAACCGATTTCGCTCAAATTTTGAATTTTGCTATATACAATTACACGGCGAAATACCGAGAAGTTGGATGAAAACTAGACACGATAAAGGGACATTGATGTTTACTTAACCATTGCGGTCAAAGAACAATCATTAGTGACACATAATCGAAGTGCTCCTTAATAAAAATTAGGAAAAATCTTACAAAATAATCCCGATGCACTTGCAAAGATAGTAATTACGTTTAGTTAAACGTTTAGTAACACAAAGTTAGTAAAAACGTTATTAATTTACGTTTGGTACATAAAATAGGTCAATTGAATAGTATAATCAGTTCGGTTTTTGTTAAGTTTTGAATAATAATTTAAAAAGATTTAGATAAAGAAATAACATAAAGAGATTAGTCTAAACTTTTTATGTTA